CTAAAAGTAACCTTCTAAGTCTAACTCCCTCCGTTTTCGTGGTCTCTGTTGCATTGTACACATTGTGACTTTCATGCTTTAGGAGTGACGATTTTGCTTTGGAATCTTTGAATTTGGGGTCTGTAAACGATGGTCTTTTGCTAGTTGAGAACCAGATTATAGTCCTTAGAGAGGTACTGCCTCTCATTCACTAGCATTTATAATGCCTTCTATTTTTCGAGGTAAAAACCGTAAAAGGCACGGTTCAAAAGTATTTACAAGAATGGTGTTTTAATTGCCCTCAAGAAATAGTTAACCATTATTTTCTGTAGACACATATTGTTCTCTTAGAGCCTGTTTGCCTTAGCTAATTTAAGTAGCTGATAAGCATTAGGTGCTGAAAAGCACTTTTAAGTGCTGAAGCTGATTTAAAAAATAAGCAATTACGTGTTTGGATAAAAGTGTTGAAATTAATAATAAGCAGCTGAAGAATTGAGTATACGAACAGTTTGTTTAAAAAGAATTATTTTAGGGATAGAATAGTAAATATTTTGGTCAAATCTAAAGTGCTTATAAGCTGAAATTTGATAAGTTGGGGGAGACCAACTTATGACTTTTGACTTATTTTTGGCTTATAAGCACTTAACTTATAAACACTTTTAATTTTACCAAACACATAGATAAGCCAAAAAGTGCTTATAAGCCAGTTTGACCAGCTTATAAGCTTAGCCAAACACCCTCTTATTTTAGAGGTAGTCTTATTAGATGAACTTAAAACATTTTATGGTTACTTCTTTTCCCATAGCAATACCGTCGTTAATGTTCTCATACACGGATCAGGATTTAAACCCTATGGATTCAACTTATAATATTTTTAGCTTTGAACCCATTATATTTTTAATGTTATGAGTTCATATCTACTATTTCTGCAATTTCAATAAATTTTTACACATAAATTTTTAATCCGCATCGAAAGTTATGGGTTCAATTGAATTTGTCAGTATAACACTACATCCGCCTCTGAATGTTCTCCTGTATATTTATGTTATAACAAAGCGACACAAAGGAAGTAGCACTTTTGATTAAAGGCGCAACAGGTGATCGAATGAGCAAAGATCAGGGATGGCCAAGTGGAGACTAGGGAAGGGTTTGGGGGACCTGTTGTCGGAGATGGCTAGAAATGGAGATATGATCCGATGTGGGATACTAACTGTAATGGCACAAGAAGCAACATGCATACCTCGACTTGAGATGGCAATGTGTTTGAATTATGCCCAAGATCCATTTTATTATCATGGTATCAGAGTTAGGCTCATCTCAATTCTTGGTTTACCTGGTGTTGGGCCCCATATTATGCTGTTTATGCTCTAGCTGTCATGCCTGGATGTGCAGGGGTGTTAGTATCCGACATCAGTGTTGGATGTAGGGCTGTGCATTTGGATCGGATATCCGAAATTCGATCCGATCCACTCTATTTCGGATTTTCGGATTTCAAATTTCGGATTTTCGGATTGGATACGAATTGTGTTTTATGAAATTTCGGATTTTCAGATTGGATTCGGATTGGTATGATTTTAATCCGATCCGATATCCGAAATTATATGTACCTATATAAATACACACTAAAATTTTAGGGTTATGCTTATTCATTTTTCACACACCCCCTCACTCACTTAGATTTTTCCGCCTCTCTTGCACCTCTCTTCTCTTCAGTGAAGACTAAAAGAGTCTCAATGACTCAAACTTCCGATTTTACTTTGATTTTATGTCTCTTTCTTCCGTCTCTCTTCTCTTCTCTTCTGTCTTTTATGTCTATTTCATGTTCTATTCTTCAACTTTTGATTTTATTTTGATTTTTTTGTTTGTTTTGGTAGATGGAAGATGAGATAGAGACACCGAATGAACTTTAAATTGTTGGAAAAATTTGTGACAATCCGATCCGACAATCCGAAAAATTATCCGATCCAAAGTTTAAAATCCGATCCAATCCAATGTTAATTAGGATCGGATTCGGATTGCCCTTTTCAGAATCCGAAATCCGAAATAGGCTAAATCCGATCCAATCCGATCCATGCACAGCCCTAGTTGGATGTGGCAATTTGTCTTCGTATATTATTTTTGGGCAATCCCCAACTTATGAGCTAGCTTTTGGGATTGAATTAGGTCATGAGGCATAAGTTAGATTGCACAGCAAAACCAATATTCCTTAGGAAGCCTTACAATGTTTTCTGCTTTGTTCATTCTGCATTTAATCAGAGGCGTGCCAGTTTATTTAAAGGGTGTCGAGTTGGGACACTATGAGAAGTAACCAGAAGAGATTGACCTAACCACTCTGCCTCCTTGAGGATCTTACTGTCATGTGGATGACTAATGGAGTTGAGGGTAGGTGGTTATGATCACTTTGATGTGCGATGGGGCGTCTCTGGCTAAGATTGGGCGTCGCTGGTGTTGTTCAGCCTTGTAATTTGGTCTTGACCTCTTAATTGGCTTAAATGAGGAAAGGATAATTATAGTAAAACATCATTGCTAATTCAAGGTTCAGGTGTCCAAAACCTGCCTAAAGGCGCAAATTTTCTCTAATTAAGAACTGAGGGTACTTGTAGCAGTAAGTTGATGGAAGATTGTTTTGGGTTGCCATCTATAATGGCATTGAGGGCACTTGTAGCCTGCAGGCTTAAAACAGTATGAGTCAGGTAGCATCTTCAGGTTGCACTCTCATATGGCATAGGTGGTGTTGATCGGTCTAACGATGACAAGGTTGGAAGATTCGTAGTGAGTGATAGCAGTGATGGCCCAATCTAAAAGTTTTGGAGATAAGGTCTCACAAAAATCTGTATCGGGGTATCTTTGAGTTGACTAGATAGTTATCTCTTGTTTCAGATTATGGTCTAATTTTCAAATATTAGTTTTTAGAATATAGAGTATATGCGTGCTATATTAAGACTAATCTTCTCTAGAAATTTCAGTTTAGTTATTTCATTCTTATTCTCAAATATTTGATTTTACTTATAGCGGATGAATGTTGTGTTTAAGCCTAATATTCTCTGGGAAGCTATTCTTTTATTTGGTGCTTTCAGTAGGGTATACTTCTTGTATATGGAAGCTTTTCTGTTAATGTGCAAATAAATGCTCTTATCCAAACAAAGGATAAAAAGAATCTGTTTTCTCTTCTTACGAATGTTAATCATCCAAGTTCTCGATCTCTGGTAATATCTGACCTTCAAAAAAAAAGGAGATCATGTACTCTGGTATGTCAGGCAAATTCTTAGAATTCACCAAGTGTTGTTGCTAATTTGCATTAAGGTATTTTTCCAGTGAAGTACTACAGAGAATAGTAAAACGTATTCAATGGGATGCAAGCCAATTGAACTCTTGCAGAATTAGCATCTCCTTCATGACACCTTACCCCTAAAAATAACACAGGCAATTCCAAGGTTACAATAAGTTAGCGGACCTATTGATATGGAGCAATGAAAAGAATGAGAAATGTAAGTATTGATCAGTGAAACATAGAAGGCGATATACCGGCTTGCTGTAGGGTTAAGTGTCATACAGTTTACTTTTGGAAAATTTGGTAGGAATTCAGAAGTGGTTGGACAATCATTGTCCTGTTTAGTTGCTTTGAGAAAATGGTTAGAGAACATCAAACTGCTGCAGGTAATGCTTCTGTGAATCCCATGGTTTTGGTCCATTGAATCTTGAATAATTCCACTCTTAGCTCATTCAGCAGATTTTGGAAAGAGACCCTGATGTATCGAGGGCAATGCGTTTAATTATTGTCTGATGTTGCACAAGATCTTGCTGGTATTGTGATCCTCCATCACTGCCTTCCGAGGATCCGTCCACTTCCATTTTATACGTTCGCATATAGCATTGATGAGAAGTGGCATTTCGAGGTAAGCTTGGGCTGCCTAATGTTTCCCATGGTCAACTGGCTCTTACATGTGACCTAGAATCTCTTGCCAATACATCCTTAACTACTCATCATAGTTTCAAATGTTGAATATTCATTTATTGCAATGCTGTGGTGGTTTCAATTTGGGTCCCCATTTGGGAGGATATTTGTTTTCCTTGGGTTTCTTCTCCCATCCTTTATAACGTATAACCCTGTATGGTGCTCAGTCTTGGTGAGCTTGATTACATTTGCCTTGGCACATTTCAGTTTGTGTGCTGCTACTTATGGGATTACACTTGATTTGAATAATTGAATGAAAAATAAATTATTGGTAATCAGTGCTGTTTCTGCACAATCATTAACTTATTAGGACCCATACAGTTGCACAGCCTTTGTAAAACCTTTGTATTTCTGTGTTCAATGAAATGACTTTTCTTGTTTAATTTTAACATATGTTACTTATATGAGTTAAATATCCTGTCTCCATGAATATTAGGTTCTGAAATTTTTTGCTCTGCAGTTCATGCTTCGTTGACATTATTGGGCAATATATATCTCCAATTTCGGTGTCCGGGAATCCTATGTGTGTTACCATTGAACAGGAGATTCACAACATCATGACAAATTTGACAGAATGGCAATCTAACTTATTTTTGGCCTTTTTTTGTAGTTTGGTAACACCATAATTTAGAGCTCTATTTCCAAGAACACCTGGTTAACTTACCTCAAAGTCACTATGGTTCTATCAACTGCTTCAAGACTTGGCCACAGTAGAATTCATGTTTATAGGTGACATTTTTCAGACTTTTCAAGTTCCCTCTGCTCATTGAAAAATCAAGTGAGCTTTACAGTCCTAAAGTATTTGATGACATCTAATGTATTCTATCTTTATTCTTTTGGGGGNCCTGGTTAACTTACCTTAAAGTCATTATGGTTCTATCTATCTACTGCTTCAAGACTTGGCCACAGTAGAATTCATGTTTATAGATGACATTTTCCAGACTTTTCAAGTGCCCTCAGCTCATTGCAAAATCAAGTGACCTTTACAGTCCTAAAAGAATTTGATGACATCTAATGTACTCTTATCTTTATTATTCTTTTGGGGGGTCATATTTTGTGGTGATAAAGTGTTTGCCTACTCCATGCTACTGGTCCACATTAGAAGACAATTATATGATAACTTAATTGTTTGAGAATATTTCTATACTTTGCTATTGCTTTAAAACCCAGGAGACAATGAAAGGGGACCATTTGGTTTTAAGTCACTTTCAAGTTTCTGGTTTTGCTCCCTAAGGGCTTCCTTAATGTCAATCTCTTTCTCCGACAGTCGTGGGGACCTTTGCCTGGTATTTTTGTTTCTCTGTGCTGTTTGTAAATAATTAGTTGTGCAAATTTCCAAATGAAAAAGACAATCCTCTTCAGCATCAAAAAAATGTGAACAGTTGAATTGCCACCACTCAGGCGTTTGGTGGATGTAAAAGCTTGAGATTTCTTTACCAAGAGAAGTACTGATATTTCCTTGTTTGGATTGCAGATGCATCCACCAATGAATGATACAAAAGTTCTTGATATGGCTATAGGTTATAGTATGTAAAATCAAGATATGCTTTCACATTTCCATGGAAATGACTGTTGTCTTTGCTGTCATGAAAGGAAAGGGGAATGTTAATATTTAAGAGACCAATAAAAACCGAATATCTTTGTTTCTTGATATATATATACACACACACACCCATAAACATCAATAATATCCTTAAAATATCATGTTCTTCTTATTATATTCCTTTATCACAGAAGCATACATGTTATTTTCGTAGCTATGACTCAAAAAAGGTGAAAATCTGCAGCAGAGTAGTATTTTACCACAACAAGGACTAACGATTTTGACAGGAATTAGAAGAAACATTTACTCTTTAAAATTTTCATTTAGATGCTGAAAACCTGTGTGTGCTTTTGTTGTGTTGACAATGTAATGCACATTTATGATTGGCAGTATGACAATGTTGTTTCAATGGATTAATAAATCAAGGATACAATGTGGTATAAAGTATAAACTAATACTGCTAAGGACAAAGTATTTAATGGATATTTTTGCGTTGCATGGTTATGGGCAGTCTAGAAGTCTTTATATAAGCATTTCAGGGGAGAATTAATTTCTTCAAGAATAGAACATAAAAAGAAAATGGCAATATTCACCAACTTGAATATAAATTGTATACTAAATTAAGGTAATGTAAGGCAACTACCGTGGGTGTATATGGGGTTTGTCTTTGTATTTCATTACTCTTTCTTCATTTCGTTTTCAGTTATTAATTGAAGTTGTCTTTAGTAGACCACCCCATATGTTATTGTTAGGGAAAGGATAGTGCATCCTCCAATCAATACTGCTTTATATATATACAGAATTTATTCCATATATGCATGAAAAGTTCCCTCTTTCTATTCCTTAAAGCTATACAGAGCCCTTTCCTTCTTTGATCCTTTAATTTCTGCAATCAATTAGAATATCAAAAAGATGGAAACATCACAGTCGCTTTCTATTGAGAGCTTTTCATATAGTTGGTTAGTAGATTTGGGAGATTCTTTTAGAGCATCTATGGATGCATCAGATGATTATGAAACTGCTTTTATTGAGATGGATCCTACACTTCCTCCTTCAAAGAGATTCTTTAATGTTAATCCACAAGATTTGAACTTTGATTTTCCAACTTCTGAATCTCCTTTAACTCTTGTTCATGCTGATGAACTCATCTCCAATGGTTTCTTGATGCCTCTTTTCGTCAAGAAGCCGATGAAGTTGGAATCTGATTACGATGTTATTAGTTCCGACTCCATCCCAAATTCTCCGACATCTTCAGTCACACAGAACGATTCACTTTCATCTAGGAGGGTGAATCGTTGTGTATCGTTGAGAAGATGTCGGACTTTGTCCAGGCGAATTTTGCTCAAGTATTTGGATTTTTTGAGGCCTTTTTGCCAGAAAATAAGAAGATGTAGACTTGGTAGGTGCAGAAGTGAAAAGGAAGTGAAAAAGTGGGAATATTCTCCAGCAACATCTCCAAGGACAAGTGTGGCTTATTCTGTTGATAATTGGCGCAGGTCTTGTGATTCTGAAAGCTCCATTTATGAAGCAGTTCTACATTGCAAAAGAACCATTGGTATGTTTATGTTCTCTTTTTCTTTTTCATTTTAGCAGTATATAGCAGGCAAATTTAGGTATAATCTTATTATTATATGTATATATTTTTAATTTTTTCCACATATGTATAGGTAGTTTGAGTTAAAAGCAATGAGTTCAGTCTCTAGCTCCGCCTATGCATGTAGTTACATTAAAAAGTTTTATTGATTGTATTTTCAGATTATAATATTGTTGTTTGGTTTGTTGTGTTTCTGGTAAATAGGGAAGAGAACTGAATAATGTTATGGAGCTAAAGAACAAAGAAAGAAGATTGAGAGGTCTAAAGATGATCACATGTCACTGAATACATTGTCCCTTTCTATTGCTCTTCTCTATTCTTTAAGAATGGGATTGTGAATTTTTTGTCTTCTTGAGGAAGTAGAAAAGCTGTAAAAGGAAGAAGTGTCAGCCATGAGAAATTCTTGGAATTTTTGAAGATACGATAAATCTTCGTGATGACTCATATATTTTTGTCTTTTTTTATTTTTTTTAATTTTTTCTCCTCTATAGAGGAAGAACAGAATTCCAACTTGGAAATTGTCTAGCTTTGTGCTTTGTAAAGTTTTATGGTAATGATATTTCTCTACATATTGTATGTCATTGTTTACTCTCCCTCCTGCAATATTACCTTATGATCTCCTTATTAAAAACGTTACTTAAATTTAATGATAATTATATTCCTGTGAAGAAACTTGGAAATAAACATTAGTCTTGGATTTATTTTTCAGGGTATTAGTCTCGGAGTCATAATTATTGTGATTATACTTTCATTGAGCCGAGGGTCTATCGGAAATTAAATAATTTCTCTATCCTCACAAGATAGGGGTAAAATCCGCGTATACATTACCATCCCTAGACCCCATTTGTAGAATTTTATTGGGTATGTAGTTACTGTTGTTGGTATTTGTTTATCCCGTAAAATGGTATAGTTAAATTTGTACGTGGTTTCTAGACAAGTGAATTAATTTGATCCTAAATAATGAAATAATTAAAGAAATGTGCAATACTTAGCCTTGAAATGAAAAATGAAATCACGAAAAATAGTAATTTTGGGGACAGAGCTTCCAGGCACAATAGTGATAAAACTAAAGAACAAGAAAGTAAACTTGAATAAAGCTTTAATCAGTTATAGCGTAAGTTTGCCAGTAAAGTCCTGTCGTTTACAATGATAACAGAGCTCACTATTTATAGCTATATCTAGAGAACAAACGGGATAATTGCCTTTACAATGACAACAGGGCATTTGTTGCATCTTTACGGGTGTCATTCTTTTCGGTGACAAACGGGATAATTACCTTTGGTTATAATTGTCCCCCACTTTAAGTTCCGCGTATCACTCTCTTAAGTGGCCACTTAGCATAGCGTATTTTACCGTATATAGATAGTCCCCCTGCTTTCCGGTGGTATAACTTTGTGTCACCGGAAAGTTGGTAGAAACACTCTTTTTGGCGGGAACTACTATGATTCCTTCTGAAAAGCTTCTAACAGTTGATTAGACGCACGTCTCTCCAAATTTAATGTCCCGAACACGCGTCATCCCACGATTCAGCATAGCTTTCACCGGTTATCGAGGTGATCATGGTCGCAAATTTAGCAAGATAAACCTTTACTTATACGCATCAATCTTGTTCACTCATACTCCATAACTTTCCACATTCCTAAAACTTTCTTTATTGTTCTTCAACCTTTTTTAACTTCCTTCAAACGAAAAAGCTTTTCCTTCGTCCGTAACGTATAATGGCTTCTTCTTCAAAGAACATCAGCTCTTCAAAGAGCAAGAGCAAAGCTGAGGACACTGCTCCTCTAATAGTGGGCACCATTATCCCTAGAAGTCTTGTTACAACAAAAAAACATCGAAGAAAAATTCCCTTCGGCTAACCCTTGCACGTGGGCCGTTGGTAGATACCCGTCTTCCATCCGACCTTCTAGTATTTCTGTTGTGAAGGAAAGATTGTCGCCGCCAAGATTTAGACATTATCGCTCCTGATCTAACAGAGCGAGTAACCCTACCCAAGGAGGGTTTTACATACTTTTACACGTATCTCTTTACTTTGGCAGCGTTTTCTTTGAGTGGAGAGCTCAACTCCGTTACTGCGGAGTTCCGCCTCCACTACCAGGTGTGTTTGGCACAAGTAAGTCATTTTGTGTGGAGGACGATTGCTGAGGAGCTATCTTTAGCTCATGTGATAAAACTCTATTCCTTTAAAGTCTTCTTCGGGGGAATAATAAACTTCAACAAACGCGGCCACCATGCTCTATTATCTAGCATGGATGATGACAATGACCGTGGGTGAATGGAACAGTTCGTTGAACTTGCCACCAATGATATCATTCTGGCAATGGCTTCATCCTTTTTGGAATCATGGAACCGCACTTGTAAGCTCCTTGATTAATATTTCTTTCATTAAAAATCTTTTATATCCGTATTGATTATCCGTCCTTCGCTTGTTTCAACAACTTGATGGGTTCCACCTAGGGTTGAAGGCTTGAACCAGTGGGTCCAGAAAATCTTGAATGTCACTACGCCCGAAACCCGCACGTGGAAAGAACTAGCCTTCAGATATGGTGGAAGGCCAAAAATTATGGTAACTTAGACTCATCTCATTTATGCTTTTTACTTGAGGAAATTGATTGATCCCTTCTCCTTTTTTCTGAAATTAGGTCTATCTGCGAGCTCGGTTGTTGTCCTCGAGGAGGACGTTTTGGCTGATCCCATTGATGCAGCAAGGCTACATTAAGAGGCGCTTACTAGAACATGTGTCTCCGGGCCTTCTTCAGGTAGAAGTGTTTCTTCACGGAGTCCCTGGCCGGAGAACAAGAAAATAAAAATAAGGTGTTCCTTCGTGCTGGGGAAAAGAATAAGAGGGCAAAGAACGCCGCCCCTGAGTCATCTCTGGAAATCGTAGTGATGAGCTCTTCGCCTAGGCTGGCCATATACACGTGATGATTGACGATGATGGAGAAGCTAGTGATGAGAGAGCGAGGATGATGTCTCAGTGCTTTGGGGGGGGGGAGTTTGAGATAGTAGAAAATGCCAACTCCCGTTGCCCGATCCCAGTCGTTGTGCCCGGTACTGCGAGGATGAGTACGCAGCCCCTACCATTTTTTTGTTGATAAGCAACGGACTGCAGTTGCCGCAGCTGCTTTGACGCCATCAACTTCATCACCTTTTTCACCCATTCTTCTATCGGCAACTGCTACATTATTTTCACCGGCCGTATCTGGCCGAGAAGAGGGTGTTCCTCTTCCCCAGTCCCTAGTTCATAGGAATTTGTGGAAAAATTATGCTGCCCCCTCTAAAGATCTGCAAAGGAGGAGGAATGTTACTTTCTCGGTCTCCACCAGATGCAACTTGCTATCCCGGCCAGTGGAACTTGCTAATTATCTGAAGCCTTTGGCTTGAGAGAAAGATTGGAAGAAAATACAGACTCTCTCGGGAGAGTTCTTGTTGAACAACGCCGCAGCGGTACATTCTTTACTTCCTTTGTTATTTCTTCTATTTTTGCCTAAAAATATCTTGAGTTTGACTTTGTTGCTTTGTAGGCCAACTTTCTTGCTTCCAAAGGCCTCCAAAGGTTGATCCCGGAAAATGAAGAAAGCTTCAGAGAAAGATTGGAAGAAAATACAAACTCTCTCGGGAGAGTTCTTGTTGAACAATGCCATGCACAACGCCGCAGCAGCACATTCTTTACTTCATTTGTTATTTCTTCTATTTTTGCCTAAAAATATCCTGAGTTTGCCTTTGTGTCTTTGTAGGCCAATTTTCTTGCTTCTGAAGGCCTCCAAAGGTTGATCCTGAAAAATGAAGAAATTACCTCTCCACATGATCAACTTTTGGCCGAGTGGGAGGAAACTGTCGCTCGCCTCTCAGAATTAGAAGCCAAAGCTGCTTAGGTCGTTATATTGGTGGCTCGTTTGTAGTAAAGCAAGAAAGAAATGGTAAGCCTTAGCTAAGAGATTGGACCACTGAGGGTTAAATTTGATGAAGCCAGGGTCAAATGGGTTGACGTCCATAATGCCTTTCTTGTTGCAACCGACTGTGACGCTGCCTCCGCTGAGAGATTGACCAACTTGGAGGCAGCCTTGAACTCCAAAATTGAAGAGTTTGCAGCTGCATGGGTGAAACATGCCCAGTTGGGGGAGAAGTATAAGAAGACTATCGAGCATAATAGGCTCTTTAGCTCAACTGTCTGTGAGCTTGATGTTAGCCTACGGTCTATTAGTTCCGCCCGGGAAAACCTTTCTGTCGAGGTAACACAACTCAAAGAAAAACTTAAGTGTTGAGCGACTTCCTTCATTATTAAGAAAACTTACGTTATGTACAGCATGAGGAGAAAAACCTTGGAAGAGGACAAAGCTGGTATCATTGACTTTGATGCTGAAATTGCTATGGCCCGTGAGCTTGAGTTAACTGCTAAAAGTGGTCTCCTGGCAGAGCCCGATGCCTCCAGTTCTTCTGGTTCCGATTCTGAAACTCCAGTAACTGGAGAGGAAACAGAAGGTGAAGATGTTGAAGGCCCAACTGATGAAGGCTAAAATGTTGAGCCATTGGCGGTTTTACCCACTTCCCTTAGGGGCACGGGCACTTCTCTTCCTCCGGATTCCGGAGATACAACGGTTTAGCTTTTATTTTTCTTCAACTTTTGTATCTGTTCCACTTTGGCATGTTATTGTAAATAAAGACATCGTTTTGCTCAATCATTGTCTGAGTCTTTCTTTCGTTTGAACATTTATGCAAGTTTTGCACTTCCTTTTTTTTCTTTTGCCTAAGTGTTTTGTGCAAGTTTTACTATTTGTGTCTTATTACGTAAATCTTTGGGTGTATTTTTTCCCGAAAGCATTTTGATTCCAGTCATATGTTCTTCCGAAATTAACTCTTTAACGTGAGGGTTTTATAAGAGAGAGCCCTATTATGTTTATGGTGCTCTTAAAGAGGACGTCTCTTGTTCATCACGGCACATTTGAAGTACTTGTTTAACTTTCAAATGATAAAATTAATTCAGCGATCATACAAGAAACAAGATGAGAAATAAAAGAACTTTATTTTATTCCTTCCATTTTCAAAAAGTACATAAGCATTCATTATGTTAAAGAGAAATCGCCATTTCTTGTGGCTAATTTGTACAGCTTGTTTCTACGGGGCTGGTTGCGAAGTCCCTGGTCCCAATGACATAATTATGTTTCTGGTTTTCGTGCTCTAGTCGAGGTGGCAGTCATTGTTGCTGCATTCTTGTATCATTCCCCATTGGAACACTGGGAATCATGCACCTTCGAGGATCCCACTAATGAATTGCTAGACAATCTTCTGCTCGGTAACAAACTTCGCTCTCCCTAGGAATTTATTCTATCGAGCAAAAGACTATCTAACAATCCTCTAGTGGTTTGTACTTATGAACAGTTAGGTAACCTTTGCTTGATAGAAAACTTATTTTCCCGGTGGGAATTTTGCTATCGAGCTAAAGATTATCTACCCGCCCAGAGTGGCTCTTTGCTTGTGTGCCTTGTTATTAAAGGTCTTATTGCTACTGTTGAAACTTTCTTCGTAGTATTCTTTCCGTTGTTGCCTCTTTAAAAACCTTATCAAAAAACCCAATTGGGAC